TCCCACCCCTAGAATAGAGCAGTTTGAGAGCAGGACGCAATCATTTATTCCAAAAGTGTCTCAGAGAAGCGGATATCGAGGAAGCTTTATGGTGTCACCGTCACTAGAACTGAGGTAGTTTGAGTGCGAAGCGATCGCAGTAGCAATTGGTAGTGGGTAGATAAGAGGATGTGCAAAGAGTATCATGAGGTGCTGCCATAGTCACGTTGCGTTCTGCAAGCGTCATTCTAGCAGGTGGCGATTGTGTTGCAAGATATCTGGAGGATACCCTTACTGGAGGGTGTAGGTCGTCGTCAACTAGTGAGATTGTGCTGTGGGTATGCTTGTGGTGTGTTGGCTTTTCTGTTTGTTTTCCATTTCAGCTTTGTCCATGTGACCCAGGTTCTCGCAATGGCATCCAAGTCGACGTGTATTGGTCGTGATGGAAAAAAGGGAATGATCCGTTTCTTGTCGGGGAGTGTCAATGTATTTGAAGAGTGAACGATTTCTTGTTATTGTTAGACCTTTTGGAATTTCCTCATTGTTGGTTACATGTTGGCTTAAGAACCAAGGATTCCCGAGTCGCCAATTAGTGTCCTGGTTTTCGCGTTTGTTGATACGAAGTGTTCTTGAAAGTCTTCGAGGGACAGTGTGAGGTCCAGCGTAGTAAGAGCTGGACATTGACAGTTTATGATACTTGGCTGACAAATTCAACAAATACATTAACTTCATTTGGTCATATATTATATAAGCACTCAACATGACTGCGAACTCTTGGACAAACTGTGGATAATTGACTGGGTTTTCACCAAAGTACCGAGGCTCAAATTTTGGTAGCTTAAAACGCCTACTATCACTAGGCGGCAAGACATGAACATCGATCTCATCATTCTGGGCATCGTTCACATTATCTCAAATAACAGGCGACTCAATATCACCTACTCTTCTGTTTGCTTCCAAAGTGTCACGTCCCTTCCTTGGCCCAGCCATCATCCAAATTGCGTTGCGATAATCCGTGTCCGAAGATTTTGGAGGCAGAACAAGTAAGTACTCTCCAGAATAGTTCCAGAAGGCGCACCAGAAAATGAAAAGAAGAACGACAACTGTCAAGGAACTTAACCCTAAGTTCCTGTTATTTGAGAAGACGCCCCGAATCGACAATTACTATGAACAACTATCGACTTAAACTCCATAACACATGGACTAATAAGAAATTGTATTCTTCGGCAGTTAAACTCGATAACGGTACAAAGTCTATAAACAAATGTTTTACGTGGGATGTGTCGTACTTTTGTGGTGAGAGCTGGCTGTTTGTAAAAATTACTGGACAGTAATTTACGTCAATGTTTTTGCCCCTAATATTGGTCGTGAGAAAAATGAGAACAGAGACTTTGCGTGGGCGGATACAGTTAAAATATAGATAATATGACATTCAGGAAATAGCCACAAAGAGATGCAAGATTAACTTTCAGTAAGAAAAAACCAATAAGGGAACGGTGTTTTACCGCTAAAAAATAATCTATAAATATGTGTTGATTTCCTTAACAAACGATCTGTTGCCTGGCCCTTGTCTTCTGTTGTTACATTTTTATTCGTATTCTTTCGTCTTCCTCCTACCTGTACACGACTGAATCACTCGCGCCTTCAAGTTGCCCGCCAATGACGACCAAGGCCGATGAACCAGCCTTCAATGTTCACATTCATTCACACCTGCTCTAACTTCAAAATGGAGATCAGACAGACAGCTATAAATGGTATACGACAACAAACGCTAACAGAGAACCAGCTAAGAGTCTACTACGGGAATATATGCACGAGGACATGAAGATAGATTAGACAAATGTTAAAGAGGTCTTCCACTGACACTATTGCCACGCTGTACAGAGGGGCTTGAGTGGAAAGCGCCTAGTTCTACATTTGTGTAACACACAGTGGAGATAGTGTAGACTGGAAACGCATGGTTATGCGTAATGATGAATGAATGTGACTGCAGAGAACAGTATGTTATGGGGATATGCTGCTAAAGTCATTTTCTAAACGAAACGCAAAGGAGTGCTAACGATATTTGCTGTGAATATAGTAATCGCCGCTATCGATAATTCACAGGCGCACGGTGATTAAGTCTTCAGTGATAAAAGATTTCGGTGTTACTTTAGGGGGCTCGCGTTGTACTAAAGTCGGTGGACATAACAGTTGGGATGGAACATTAAGGCATGATTCACGTGACGAAAATATCTAATATCGTGGTACTATAACCACCAGACAACTTTGTCTCCATAAGAGAGGGTAAAATTGCTATGTTGGATTATACCTAGTGGGAAGAACAAGGATATGTTCGGTTTTGGCAGTAACTCACAGCTACATAATTCCGTTTGATTGAGTAAAGTCACCGGTGTGGAAATACCTTCGAATTATTTGACAATAAAATACTGATTTTAGGGGATCGGCCACTTTTCCAGCCTCAGAATAGGATTATAAGTAGGGAGGAAGTTATATCAAGGGTCACACATATGTACAATAATCTATTTAATTTCTGTTTGGTTGTTCCTAATGTAACCACGCCTAGTTAACTAGCTCGCTAGTTTTCTAGCCGGTCCCAAGCCCGGGTAAAGAGGGAGGGATGGGCATGGGGCTAGCAACCCCACACCACTAAATCTTTCAAACCGATAGAGAAAATTCAACACACAGACAATATACAAAAAATACAAAAACTTCAAATAACAGCAATCTTATTCTTCGCTCGAATCAGAGAGGTGAAATGACGTAGGCTGATGGAAGCCTTCGCAAGCCAGTCAACCGATGTCTTCTGTCGATGGAAGCAAGAGCAAGAAGGGGTACGTAGAATGTCCTTGCAATGTACGAGACTAGGAAGGTTGGCAAGGTAGCCAGAGAGATGCGAAGATATGACTTAGAAGTACTGGGTACCTGCGGAAGCAGGTGGAGTGGATGTGGATTGACAACATTGACAACTGGAGAGCCGGTAATCTACTTCGGCCAACCAGACGACAACAACAAGCACACTGAGGCAGTAAGTGGCTATCATAATGTCACCAATAGCAGTCACAGCTCTAATGCAGTGAAACAGGAACCAGTTTCATCCAGGATCATGACAGCAAGATTCAACTCAAATGGAAGGAAGGTAACAATCTTCAACTGCCACGCACCTACAAACAATGCGGAACAAGAGAAGAAGGGAAATTTTTAGACACCTAAAAACAGTAATGGACACCACCCCAGATGCTGACGTCAAAATCCTCATGGACGATGTGAATGTCAAAGTGGGGCAGATAACACGGGAAGAAAACTCATCATGGGCCAAGAGGTTGTCACTCACAGAAATGGATGAGAGCGGAGAATTATTTACGGACACCTGCACTCAGTGTTTTGGTGACTAAAGGCAGCGTGTACAAGCACAAAGATATACACAGGGCAACACGGATTTAGGCTGACTGGCACACTACGAACCAGATCGATTCCATACCGATCTCGAGGAAGTGGAGACTCAGCCAGCCTGCTGGATGCAAAGTCGAGTAGAGGAGCAAATGTAGGCTCAGACCATCTGCTTCAAGGAACCTTCAAGGTGAAGCTGAAATCCCTGGAAACAGTTGGAGACAATTCAGGTTCAACATTCAGAAGCCGAAGGACAAAACTACAAGACATACCTCTACTACAGTTCAGAGCGAAGTGGGAGACACTACGTGCTATCACCAAGGAAACCAGGGTGGAAGAACATTGGAGCTAACTGTCTGAAGGCGGCATTCAAGGAAACGTGTTATAAATAACTGTAATAGTAATATTTCGCAATGGCAGAGTTACAGGAAATCAACCAAAAACACAGAAAGAGGTGGATCTAGGAATTTGTATTTGGCTGAATTATTGTTCCATTCATATATAATAAATACATTAACAAACAAAAGTAAGTATTTGAACAATAGAGATAGAAATTGTCAATCACCACAACTGTTCTAGAAAGAAAGAAGAGATACGACGGGGAATGGCTGTCGAATGGATACGTGGAAGCTAATCGAGGAGAGGAGGATGGTGAAAGAGTTGACTCAATGCAAAGATGGACAACAGAAAGAGAAACTGAGTTTAATGTACACTGCAATGAATAAGGAAGTGAAGAAGAGTGCTAGAAAAGGCAAACGACAATTCTACGACACACTGGAAACTGAAGCAGAACATGCCGCAGGCAAAAGAGACGTCATGACACTATATCATATAACCAAGTCTCCGTCTGGGAAGAGATCAACCCAGATGATGAAGGCAATAAAAGATGTTCAAGGGAACCTGATCACCAAAGGGGGTAAGAAATAAAACAATGGGCCGATCTTTTTAAAGGACTCTTGAATCATCCATCACCTGCAACTCGCCCAGAAGCGGACCTTCACTAACAGCATGCACAAAACTTCCTGCCAGTGGACACAAATCCTCCAACGAAAGCTGGAATACAAACTGCGATCAAGCTACTGAAGTCAAGAAAGGCATCAGGTCCAGACGGAATTCCCCCACCCTGAAGTACTGAAAATGGACCCAGAGACTGCGGCAGATGTTCTCACTCCACTGCTGCAAAACATTTGGAAAGAAGGAAAGGTGGCTACTGATTAGAAGAATAGTCACCTCGTCACACTGCCAAAGAAGGGCGACTTAGGCCCGTATCAGAACTGACTAGCGAGAGTGACATGGAGAAGGAGATGAGATCTTGGTCAACCTTTGTCCAAGGTGAAGAGGAGGGCAAAAAATAGAACAAAGTGGAGATGTGTTGTTGAAGACCTATATTCCACTCTGAAAGAAAGGGAATAATAATAATATAAAAATAGTTCTTAATGTCTCAAGTCCAAGCGTAACGGACTTTGAATTCTGGATTAGATAAATGCAGAGATGTATTCGACAAATCATATAACAATTCAGCACTCTTATAAATTGGTTTTATTATTTTTCTAAATAGACGCTTAGGTAGTTGTTTTACTGCGCTCTGTATCCATATTTGTGGGCGCTGTTAACTTGAACATTTTGTAAAAATGTCTGAGACGGATCCCATCTATGCTCCCTTTTTTGGTGTTATCGGTGCAGTTTCAGCAGTCGTATTTTGTTGTAAGTTCGGTTAATTGCCAGTCTTTTATTTTAGGCTTGGGAGCTGCCTATGGAACTGCAAAGTCCGGTGCTGGCATATGCTCCATGGGGGTGATGAGGCCAGAGCTGATCATAAAATCCATCATTCCTGTTGTTATGGCTGGTATCATAGCCATTTATGGTCTTGTCGTTGCAGTTCTTATAGTTCAACGTGGCCAGGACTTGAAAAAGCTTGATGTGTAGGTCCGAGAATTGTAGTCATATCATGCTTGAACATAGGTCTTTAAACCAGCTAGGAGCAGGCTTGAGCGTTGGGCTCAGTGGACTTGGTGCAGGATTCGCAATAGGTATAGTCGGTGATGCAGGCGTCCGAGGCACAGCTCAACAGTCAAGGCTTTTTGTTGGAATGGTGCTTATTCTTATTTTCGCTGAGGTCCTTGGTCTATATGGATTAATTGTTGCACTTATCTTGTCTACAAAGTAATGTGTTTTACCTCGAGTGTCCTACTTACTCTGCTGTCGTCCATTACCAAATTACTTCAGAACCATCTCCTCTTTTGACTTACTTATCAACATACCATTGATTTTATGTCGTCTGTGAAATCTATTCAGTGACACTATGTGTACCAAACACTCAGTTGTCATGCTGATATTCATTTATCCTTATACTTGACCAAACAGTCCATTCCAAATCATGCACGTCCAGCGGAAGCTGATTCTTCTCAAATTTTGGACGTGGCTAGTACATACTGATTTCATTTTTTTGTAAGTGATTGCCGCTGTCAATTAGCCAGTGGATCATGTCATGTTTATTAACTGTTCGGTTTGAATGCATATTCTGCTTTAAGTTAGCCTAATTGAATGCTGGACACTGCATAATAATTTCTTTTTGTGGTTATTGTCTTTTGTATGTCAAGTTGAAGATTAAGTTATAAATATAGAGTTTTCTCATAAATTTATTTAACTGCTGTACCATGGCAAAACTGATATTTACTCTTAGCCAAATTTCTGCTCACAAAGCATAAACTGTATGGTGTTTTTTTAGCTTGGATGACTTCCAGACCAAATAAAACATGTTTGAGTCACTTCTGTAGCTTATTCAACGAAAGCATTATTTCATGCTGTATTTACGAAGAATGCTGTAGCACAGTGGATGTAGCAGGTTGTGAATAGTCATTAGAGCCACAACCATGTTTAATTGACTAGTGTTAGTGCACTGGCTTCGTAGACCTGATATTGATAAGGTAGTGAGAATGTAGATTACATATAGTTCATTTATGGTCTCCAATGAGGTTCTTGAATCGAAAGACCATTGTTGTGTACATTTTGCCGTGCAAGCCTCCGGGAGTACGGGAGTGATATTTTTAACTAATAATAGTATTTCACACGATTAGACTTTGGTATGGACTACTTCAGGATGGGTGCATTTCACGCGCACTTTGTATCATTCCTAAGTTTTGGACGTGACAAATGACTGAGTGGTCTCTGCTAGCGGATAGTGTCTGTAAAATATGTAATGGTATAGACTACATTTGGATGTTTATAAATGTTTCTGTAACACTACTTAAATAACCAACATGGGTATTTCCAGACTATATTGGAGACTGCTCCTAATGTCTTAAATGTTTACTGCTGTTTTTCGATTGTAATCGTTATCTTGTGGAATGAATTGAGGCAGGATGTGGAAATCCTTTAACAACTACCATGAAACAAGTATTTACACACTTCTTTCCATATGTCTTGCATCTGTCACTCGTTGGCTTTTGGTTTCCATCTAGGTGTCGTGATACTGTAAATGATGCATGTAAATAGGTCTGCATTCCAAATCCCTAACATGTGTATGTGCGAAATAATGATAAACAAACTGATCCCATTGCGCCCCGTTACCCATTATATGTGTAAATTTTTAGCCGGTTAACCACTGTATGACTTCTAAATGGCTATTGCATTATGGTCTGTCAGAAAGTTGTAATCATCAACCCGGGCATCCTGAAAGTGAGCTTTGGCGCCTATCAAGTTATTTAGACTGAACTAAGTGGTTGTTTTATAATTACCATGCCTAGCTCTTCTCCCTGTCCTTTATGCCTGTGGGAGGTTACGCGAAGTGTTAGGTTAGGAGGGCAAGTCAGTCTATGAGTCTGGGAAGCTATATTGGTCTAAATGGCTAGGACACGTGCTAAGGATGTCGAGCAATATTTGTCGACACACAATTAGTTTGTAATAGGGTCGGTGATGATGGAAAGAAGACGTGTCGTCAGTCCATGAAGTCCCTGTTCGCTGGTTTGAGTGCATACTGCCATGTGTGGAACCTCGAAACGCCAAAACCTGACAGCCTGAGACTGTCGTTGACATGTTTCAGTGGTGTGCATGCATTCACTCTGGGGTTTTCTATGTTCATTTAACTGTTATTATATGTATTTGTTCTTCCGACAGTACAGCTCAATATGGTTGTTTTGAATTTCCTAACGTTCTTGTGGTATGTAGAATGTAGCAACTTCTGTGCAACCTTCTGTTGTCAGTGTCATCCTGTGCAATTTCATACTTATATCGGTTGATGATGAAGTTTCTGTTGGATAAGGCGCAAATGATGGCTTCTAGCAAACAACAGTAGTGTAACCAAAGTTCCATGAGTTTAATACTTTAGTTAGAATCGGTTATATAGATCGGTGGCAAAGTAGTTATGCATCGCAATCATCCTAATGTGTTTTCTGAAGCGGTCGTTTTTCACTGGCCCAATGACTAACATGACTTTCGAAAGTTGTACACTGCGGATCCGAATGGGTCATTCTCTACTTCAACTTGGACAATTTTATTAACAGCCAACACAATAGATGTGGTCGTCAGCCTGCCATATAAGAAGTCTGTCTCAAATTACCGAGTTCTAACACACTATTCTTATTTGACTGATATCCGAGGTGATCCTGATAGTCGAGAGTTGAAACTTCTTTTGGAGCCAGATAAAGTATATATACATATAATCCTGTTGGTGTTTTTGCTGTCCACTTGTAACTTGGGTAATTAAAGGACTTATTTTGGTATCAGAAACTTGAGAAGTAACCAGACGCTAACAAAGTAAGCTCAGTACATTGAATGGATCTCATTTCATTGGATTCAGATTATGTAAAAGGTATGATTTAATAAATAATGATGTAACTGATTAGCACATTTAATAAGAAATATCTAATCATAAGTTGTAAACCGAAGTAAGGAGGGACTTTTTGAGCTTATGTTCATGTTTATCAGGGGAAGTTATTGAAGCATAGTCTCACTGCAACTAATGTGCCTTCATGTAAGCTTTGTATTTAGATACAATCCTACAAATGCTTGTTCACAGCATTCATAGTAGGGAAAGCACATAATATGCTTTTTTATCAATAGTTCTTGCCCTGAAAAGAAATCAGGATCGTAAATAGCTTCATCTATCATTTATCCTTTAAAAGTCTACATGGAAATCTTCCATTATAAAATCCAGTCTTGTAAACCTAAGTGAGGTGGAAAGAATGTGTGAGTGTCGTCGACTCTAGGTTAAGAATGGAAAGGTGACGATTTCAAAAATGTGATTATGGAAAACTTTTGAGATAAAGTATATAAAGTTGAAATGTTGCCTAACAGGCACTTGTATTCGCATGCGGCTGTCGTTGACCCACACCTGTTCTATGAGAACTAGTCGAAAATTTGAGGAAGTTAAGTGGGCTTCGAATCCACGACTCATTGTTTAGAAGACAAGCGAGGGACCACTTAGATACAACTGAGCAACTTTAAAAAGTTGACAGATTTTTAACTTGGACAAGGGTTACTAGTAAATATGTGAAGAGCAGCCTGAATTTTAAGTTGCAGCGGTCCTTAGAAATATTTCTTTGTTTTGCCCGTACAACGGAATTTTTAATCAATATTTTCTCTTTAGTGAATTTCACCACCAGGCTTCTTTATATTGAAAGACTTCATTTTCGGGCTGGATGCTTAATATATACCAAAAGAGAATTTTTCTGCTTCTCATATATTTTATTAGATGTTTATGGTTTCCACTAACTAGTTAGTTTCAAGAGTTACTTTGTAGGGATGATTTATTTCAAGTTTGACCGTGGATTGATATCATTTAGAGGAGCATTGGAAACCATTAAGTACTGAACAGTTGTTTCATCCTACTATAGGACCTATGTCTTTGATCATGGGTGCCTGCGTTCTTTCTCCCGTGTTAAGTGGTATAATAGGGTGAGCAATATTGAGGTTAGGCCTCGAGTGCTAGGTGAAGAAGGGAAATCAGTAGACGAGAATTTGAAGTTGCATCGACTGAGATGGCGATCGTCTTCCTCAACGGGCAATGTTAGCTGACATAGGATGGATCAGGTTGAGAAAGAGTTAGCTAATGGTGGTCAAAACAAAACATGGCTTCATCAGTCAATGAAATCCACCAGTTAGTTTAGGCCAGCCACGTAGGAAGGTGTAGATTTCCTGGTTGGGGTCCTCAGGACGGTAAAAATCAATGAAGGCTGGAGACACCTGGTGATGTGTGAATCAAAATCGTCAATAGCTGGTGCAGATGCATTCACTCCTTGTAACGTATAATTTCCAGTGAAACTATATTGTTCTTCGTTATTACTATTCCTTTGTCTCACACCCCTGTTTACTGTCTCTATTTTGCGTTTCTTTTTCACTTCTCTTGCTTAGTGTGTTACATGGAGTGTTGCGACTCGAACTGCTGCACATTTGTGCAATGTTCTATGTTGAGACCAGACAGACAGACCTCGTATAGGACTCGCCAGCACTACACACTCACCATGGTTCTGATGCAGGAGCTTCTAGTTGTTAAGCAAGCTTCTTCTACCAACTCGTGACTTTAGCTTAACGGTCAACCACTTTTATCACGAGTTGGTAGAAATTAGAATTCATGAACCGTTGGGTCAGGTTCCACTGACCACTGACTGAATGGTCTACGAGCTTACTTTGTAGGCGGATTATCCTTGGGTCCGAACCCTGGTGGATGCGTACTGCTGATTAGTTGCAGACTAGGATTAAACAGCTGTTCATTACTCCCAGCTGGTGTTCAGTGGTTCTCTAGATGATATCAGTACGTTGATAGACATACAACCGTGTATCCATCAGTGATCACCTATATGTATGACGTAAGTTTCTTGAAGTATATGACTAATCTTTTGTTAGGTGTTAACTAACAGTCTAGAGATAAATGGTCAGAATATGATGAATGCTGTTCACTTGTTAATCTGTCCCTATGAAGCTCCTTTAACTTTGCGTAAACCTAAGTTTTTTGATGACTGTAATTGTTATCTTATTCAGGTGAAACTCATACCTAGATTTCTGGTTTTTGCTAGTGAATGAAGAGTGATCATTTGGGCGATATATCGTAAGTGTGTTTTATCTCGGTTATAAATGAGCATTAGTCACCGTGCGTGCCTACTTAGCTATATACGAACGTGGTAAAGTATCGTTTGAAAAAGTCCTTTTAGCAAGCAGCAGTGAAGAGAAAAGGACAACCTGTAGATTAGTGATCACGTAGTAGTGCGAATGCAACAATGATCGTAAATGCATACCCATTCGATGGGTTGCAGAACCTGTTGTTGTTACAGTGCCAGTATGAACGCT